CCTATTGGCTGAAGGCGCTGGGCTATACACGCACATCTGCACAAGTGAGCGGCGCACGCACGGCTCAAAGGAATTGAGTAAAGACACATATTGTATACCGCTCACCGCAACTCCTTTGCCGTTCAGATTAAATCAGTTGCCCAAGGGGACAACTTGGCCGGGAAATGGTATGGTTGAAGCTACTTGTGATGGTAATGGTGGTTTCCTTGCCCTTTGGTCCCGGGTTAATGATGGATGCAGGTCCTTGGTGTTCGGGGTTGTTTACAGAGATCCATTGGGTTCCTGAGCTCGGCTGCTTTATTCCGTTAAAGTTCACGGTTGTGGAGAGGACTATGTACTATTGGGAGACTTCAATACCCCAGGTGTCGAGTGGAGTTTGCTTCCTTGTGCTACTTCTTCAGGCGTTTTCGATGCGAACTTTTCGGAAACTGTTCTCTTGTGTAATCAATTTCAACATGTTACTGTACCTACCCGTATATTTGTTGGACAGACCCCGCATATTCTCGATTTTGTGCTTTCTCTGGCGAAGTCAGATATCGCAGACATTACCACTCTTCCGTCAGTTGGTAATAGTGATCACTGTATGGTTTCATTCCTCTGGACTCAACGCCTCACTCTTTACAACAAGATAGTTTCCGCAAAATTTCTGGCGTGCAGATCCAATCCGTCTGCAAGCGGCCCCTAGCGCTGTGGACTGGAATATACCTCTACTCTCGGACCCAGATGCAGAGTGGAACCTTTTGCACTCCATGCTAACTTCGCTCGTTGTGTACGTTGTTCCTATTTGCAAAAGGAGAGCGTTTACGAGAGGCCCTCCGTGGATAGACTGAGAATTGAGGTGGTTAAGGTCCAAAAGACGTAAATTATGGGACCGATTCAAGCTCACACACTGCGCGCTTGACTATTTCGAGTACAAATTGATCAGAAATAACTGTATCTTGAAAAACGTCAGAAACAGCATCAGTTTGGCTGTGCAATCCAGGACGACACCGAAGCCACGCTACTCTTACTTGCAAAGAAGTACCAAAGCTGGTAGTGGCATTCCTGCCCTGTTTTCCGCAGAGCAGGGCAGTTTCCATGACAACGATGCGACGAAAGCCAGTCTATTGCCCTGCTCATCTGTCTACTCGATAGAGACGCCGTTACCCGGTGACACTGCGCCAATACACCCCTCTTCATTGCAACACATAGAAATAATAATAATAAATAATGTGTCAGCTGTTCGCCGTAACGGCGCTTCGCTGCCGCGCGACCACCACCAGTCGCGCGCGGGCTGAGTATACCGCGAGGACGCCCACCCCTACGCGGATTCGAACCGGTGACCTTATGGTTGCAAAGAAAACGTGCAGACCACTCGGCCACCGGCTGACAGCACATAGAAATGAGTGTAGCTGACGTTGCCAAATGCTTTCGTGAATTAGTTCCGAACTCCTCGCCGGTTCCTGATGGGCTGCACCCGGTGTTCCTCAGGACCGTGGCTGACTACATTGCTGCTCTCGTCTGTCAGAAATTTCATCACTCCCTGGAAACTGGACGATTCCCGGTTGCTTGGAAATCAGGGACCGTTAAACCTATATACAAGGAGGGGATCGTCAAGATCCTACAAGCTATCGACCCATCTGCCTAACGTCCGTACTGTGCAAGTTAATGGAAAGGATTCTCAAGCGCGGCTGTTCACTAGGGCATTGTCGTGTATTTCTCTTTAACACTTTTGCTGAGGGCACAATTGGCATCAACTCAGCATCATCAGTGACACGAAGAGTAATCATTGTCAGCAGATTCGGAACAAGACTGTTGATTTGTCATGTCGATGTTAACCTGTATATGCGTTTCGGGCACAGCACACTTCATTACAAAGAGTGAAGAGTCTTATTGTTGCTTGTTTCTCTACCTGACCCTAATTGCGGACGTTAAAAGATGCAATGTGAACTGAAGTCATTGGCTTGAAGGACGAGTTGCATGCATCCATAGTGCCCATTGACAAGTCAGCGCCAGCTCCATACTCATTAGAGGGGGAAGAACGGAGCCGCGATGGGAAAAACAAAAAAGAGACGGTGTTGGCGACAAGGTCTATGGATGTATGATTAGCGGCATCCGGTTCCCGATATGTCTGTCATTTCGGTCCCATAAGACTGCAACAGAATGCTTACGCTGCACTACCCACAGCTCTATCCACGTCTCCTATATCCAGTGTGAACCCAAAGAAATAAGACCTGGACGCATGTGGTTAGGAGCCAAGTTTCATCAACAGAGCCGGCTCACGCTATTTCAGCATGCCTAGTACTAGCATTCCTGTCTATCCAATTTGGGTATCATACGTGTCAGACGTATACAAGGCGGTGTGTGGACCGTAGTCCGCTCCACATTGGATGGAATCACTCTGATCCTAGCGCGGTTACGAGAACCGTGCATCCCTTCCTCAGCAAAGGTTAGCAGTCTCCTGGAGACATTAATCGAGGTGGAATGTGTTTGATAGGGAGGGGCCTTGTCGGCATTAAAATCAAGCTCAGCCGCAACGGCAGTATCAAACAACCAACACAGAATTTGAAAGAAAATAGACACGTCGACTTGTCACGGAACATGCAGCAGAATAACAGAACTAAGCAGGACAAATAAAGTAGGGTACTTTTTGTGCAGGTTAAGGTGACAGTATATATCAATCTTCCTTTGATACCCATGGTATCTGATGATTCCATGTTATTCGTAGACTTGCATATATATATATATATATGTATCAAAGGAAGATACAGTTGTCGTAAAAGTGGAAACCGTGGTTACGTCGGAGTGCACTTTAGTACTCGGTTGTCCAAGGCGATGTTGGGTATTGGCTAAGAGAACACCACTCCTATCCTTCTTCGGAATATTCTACCCGCACGACAAAGGAGCGAATTCAGTGAATCGCATCCGTTGGGAGCCGGTGACTGATTGCTCACTTGGTGCGCCTTTCGTTTCGTCATCATTATACACGTTAGTTAAAAGTGGAAAACACTTCAGCTACTGTGCTGCAACACAAAAAAGGAGAAGAAAACTGTAACGGATGCATGCCACCTGAGCTGCCATGAACGGATGGGCATCGTTCCGAAAAGCTACCAGCCGGCTGCTATGCAGCAAAAAATTTAACCTAAAATTTTATTATGTTAAGCAATGGTATCGTGGTTTGAGGGAAATGCTAAGAGGGATGGGGAGAGACAAAGAAACTCACTCACTGAGGTCGGCTTCTAGCCATATCAGCAAGTGTATCCAGCCAAACGGGTTCATCGTCTTTTGGACCCCAACCAGGTAGCCGTGACGCTCCAACCGAGGTCAGCTTCAAAGTTCGGGCCTTCATTCCTCTCGACCAAGTCATCGCTTGGCCACCTCCTCTTCCATCCACACCCCCGGCGCACAAACAACGCACGTCGCGGTGACCAGTTGGCTGGCATGTGCAACACTTGACCGAGCCATCAGAGCCTGGTGCGTGAAATGACGGTGCTGAGCGGTTCAGTTCATTTTTCTGTGCCGTATACAATTCGTCTAAGACGCTGGTTGCCCACGCGGTGTTCCCACCAGATGTGAGCCAAACTGCGAAGGCACCGGTGGTCGAACGTAACTGACCTCTCTATGTCGGCTGATCTAAGGGGCCGGGTGCGCCTTTCGTTTGGTCGGTTGCCAAACAGGGGCCCAATCCTCTATCCACAATTTCAGCATCACGTTGCTAGCATACCATACTCCACCGGAGTGAAGCAAGGAGCAGCGACCTTATTCAGTGGCGGGTCATCCGCCACATCGTAGTATTGTTCAACGGACATACATGGTTTTATCTAGATAACGCTTGCCAGCCAAAGACGTACCACGTCCTGGGACACTGCCGCGCAACAATTGGCTGGAACTGAATAAACCAGTACCATCCAGCTGATACCACGTGGAGGTTGTTCGGCGGGCCACCCACAGGGTCTATAGGGCTGCTGATTATCTCGTTGCCAAATCCAAGGTAGCAGATTTGTTTTGAGTGTTTTACTTAACAGTCTGACATGTAATGCATTAGCTTATATGGAGGTTCGCCTGAGAGACTCAATCTGGAGCCTTTAGCTCAGTAGCATGAATCACAGCAATTTGGAGCAGGTCCAGTTTAGGAGTGGGATTGCGGAGTCCCATTGAAATTTGCTAAGAGATATCACATTTCTCGTTTATCCTGACAGTGTTGTGCAGTACAGTAAAACTGGGGCACAAACATAGCTGAGATGAGCCAAGTGAAGCGAGGCTGTTATTAAGGCTTTACTTTGCGTAAACTCGTAGGCCAGCGGATGACAGGAATGAAAAATGGCTTAATTTCGAACGGAAAGTGTACACTGGGTTTGAATGCCAACAAAACAACTGTCTGTTCGCGGAGCTCAATGACCTAGTCGCCAACTACTATGTATCGAGTTCCACACCTAACTCAGGTTGTCTACTTGATGAGCATAAACGAGGACGGAACGCGGCGTTGAGCACATTGACGAGGAAGCAACAACAAAATCTCCCAGTTTTGTGGTGATTTCCCAGGTGAACAGATCGTGTGACTATTATTTTGCAGTGAATCTTCCTGTGGTTTCGTGTTGCCGTTTTTCTGTATTTTTGCTCTACATCGTCCATCGGGCCTCCGGTTTTACCGGGCGAGTCATCCGGCAACAACCTAGTCTAGGTTTTACACAGCCGGTGACTAACGACAAGCTGACCTAACTCTTTAGCTGGGCAGCAGTGAGAATTCACTACATTCATTCTCAACCGATCGTAGCATGCCTGCGCGAGTTGAGACATCTTTGGTTTGGCATAAGACGATCCGGTTTATGTCCTGGAGGTGGTCATTGTCAGGATCATCTTTCCTACGTCGGGAACATTCGGATGAGCATAGTTACTAATTGAAGATTGCTGATGCAACAATTTACTTCTATTCTGATAGATATTTTATGGTTCCATAATTTATTCGACATTTTGGATAAAATCGGGTAAAAATCGGGTCTTATGATCTCCATTTATTTACAGAAGATACTCCTTCCCGCCAAAAGAACGTTAAATGCTTGGCATCCCAAACATCTGCGCAAGACGTTTGCTGGGTGTTTATGTTGTACTTCGCTCGGGTCCCTTAACTCATCATGTCGACTTCGTTGCTGCTTTCCAAAATCATACAAACTTTTCCAGGAAAAATATGTGCTCTATTTTAGAACCCTTAAAAGATTGTTCACCCACATTTGAAATTTTCGAACGGCTTCAGAAGATCGTCGACGCGAAGGCTAGAAGTGGATCGTTTTGGTTTCAGTTTCTCGATACCTGCACTGAACTAGATCGTCCAATGCTGGCAAATGCTGCGGCCGATTTTGTTGCAAGCGCACCCTTTCGGCACAGTAAGGCCGCGGTCATGAAGGTTTTGGAACTGTTCGCAGCGCAGTCGAGATTTACTGAGTTCCGATCTCTGTTTGATCTTCTGCACTCCGGTCTAACTGCTCCCGAAAAGGTCGTGTTTGCGCTTGATCTCATCAGAGTCCTTTCACAAACGCCATATTACAAAGAAACCTTAAATATTCTCCCGCTGATTGAAAAGCGCCATCGGAATAATGCTCTACGATACATTTGCGAAGGTGCCGCCAAGTTTGACTCCACACAATCAGCTCTTACCTCCTTGAGTGAGCTAGACACTTATCATCCCCCACCGACCGACAGTTTCTTTGTCGAATTGCTCGCCAAGCTTCCCACAAAGGAAGGTTATTCTGTGATGAATAGTCTCCTCGAAATTATACGCACAAAGCATTGGATTATCTCAGAAAGCTCCGCCGGAATGATCGCCTCTTGGTTTAACAGGTAGGTGAGACTTTACTTTCACGCAAAAAGTCAGGACGCACAAGTCTATACAGCAACGATGGGAATTCGTATTATGGGGTATATCATCTTATCATGTGAAATTTTTTTCAAATCTAGTACAATGTGTCCAGCATGTAAAAACAAACTGCCCGTTTTTCAAATGTCTGAACATGCTGTAACAAGTATCTCTAAGGAGTTTTACCAGAGAGCATTTAAGGTAACTGAAATTTTTAAAACTATAATTTCCTAAGGGTGAACAAGATGAGCACTTATATCTCACGACGACGCCGAAAGAGTTGGACTCGCTAGAAAAATTCTTGGAGAGTCAAGATGACCGTTTCGACTGCGTGATTGACTTCCTGAACGTAATGCACCAGCTTTGCGTTCCATTTGAACCAAAGATGGCCGGCCGGGTTATGTGTGAAGTAAGTTTTCGCCATTCCTTTTCGAGTATCATCCCCACGCTTGATTTTGTGCGAATATGATATTTCATTTTTGTCCTTAAGATATTTTGTGAACGGCCGACAGTTTCTGCTGACATATTACTACTTTATGCCTGTGAACGATCGACGTTTTGTTCAGCGTCGGTTGGCCATCATTGCTTACATTCATACCCCTAGAATGCAAATTAGCTCCGAGCTTGTCAATCTCACCCCCTCCTAGCTCTGTGATATATAACGTTCCAACACATTCAGCAGCCTTATTCTAGCATCATCATACTTCATGTTAACTAGGAGTGAGGAGCACCTCAGCTGTTATGCCTCATGACAACCTTATTATCTAGATGTAAAAAACAAGACAGAACATTCTCACCCTGCTTTTCTCATGCATCACGCTTGGATAAGGAGGCAAGAGGGATGGATTCGGCCGAAGAAACTCACAACACTCACGCCGCTTTATCATCAAGCCTCCAACCTGTATATATGGTTGGCGGCATCCGTATCCGGATTTGCCTGTCACTGTGACATCCACGGTGGACAGCCAAAGGACACCTGCGTCTACAGAGAGACCATGGCTGGCTTGCGCTGTACCACCCACAGTGCCATCCACACACACCATAACCGGTGTACACGCGAAGGAATAAGACCGGGAGGCATTTAGATTGGAGCCACGTCTCATCAATGGAGCCGGCCCACACTCCTTTACAGGCAGACACAAGCACGCTGTATTTGGAGAAACAGGCGCACACAAGACGATAGTTGACTCCTAGCCCGCTCCACACAGAAACCACATGCATTGAACCTAACACGGTCACGAGAACCGTTCACCCCGTCCCCTCCATTTGCGACCAACTGTCTCCTGATGCATGTGAATTGGAGCCCCGTCTCATCAGCGGAGCCGGTCCACACTCCTTCACAGGCAAACACAAGAACGCTGCATTTGGGAGTCAGTCGCGCACAATGCGGTGGCTGGACCGTAGTCCGCTCCAAACTGAGTGCATGGAACCACCCTTCGAGCCTAGCACGACCACATGGACCGTGCACCCCGTCCCCTCCAGCAACGACCAACTGTCTTCTGGAACCAGTATAGACGAGGTAGTGGGTAGTAGACAGCTAGGCACCTTGTCAACATGCACATCAAGCGCAGCCACATCGGGGATGTCAAGCAACAACCAGTTGTATGAAATAAAATATCGGATAAAATAGATCGAATACACCGTACGATATGGCGCTAAGTCAGCATATGAAATAAATGGATTATCAAAATAGCCGTGATAGATTCAGGATGGCAGGAAATTTACTCAGGACACATGTCAGAAGGAGAAAAAATAAACGAAGTTAACCACCTCTAGTTTAAGCGAAATGTACTATTTAGTAGATTATTCAGGTACACATTAAAGTGAGGTAAAAAAAACCTATAATAAGACAAGGTAGCAAACCCACCACCTCAGCACGCAATCACACCGTTAGTAAATCGGTTGCAGCGTAACTACCATCGCTGTGCGAACCTATATATATATATATATATATATATATATATATATATATATATATATATATATATATATATATATATATATATATATGATAGAATGATAATTTCCGCACCTTGCAGAACGTTTCCTCAATGTTGGTTGATCAAGACAGCTTGTGAGATAAATATACACCAAGCTGCTCAACATTGGATGAATTGGGTATATTTTGATCGCTTACGACCATACGGAGAAAACAACAAGTTACATCGTGGCATTTGGAAGCGTTGAGAGGGTGGGATTGGGACTACAGTCACTGCTGAAGCTCGTCTAGACCGCTTTGCAGAGCCGTTGTTAATTCAGAAGTTGGAGCAATGCTACCTAAGACTATGTCGTCAGCGTACTTACACCCAATAAAGTTGGGGGGGGGGGAATTGGAAGCATTTCGATGTAAAAGAGAAACGAAGAGGGAAGAGGACTGTTCCTTGTATGACGTCCAGGTCATCATTAAGAGTGTGGGACTTTTTACCGTTTAGCTGGGTAAAATGAGATCGGTTTAGCAGATAATTACTCAATAGGTTACACGCTGCTGGTTGAACACCATTCTCAGACAGCTGATTTGGCAAGATTAATCTGTCGACACTGTCAAAAGCGTTGGTGTAATCAAGGAGGAATTGCCGCACATTCTTGCATACCGCATCCAATGAAGATGCTATAGAGTGAACATGATATGATATAGCATCCAACGTGGAACCTAAGGGTCTGTACGCAAACTGATGATGAGCTGGTTTCGCCAGTTGGCTGGTGTCAATGCGCTCACAGCGTCGTCTTGGAAGCCCGCCAAAACACATCCGCATGCCAGCACATATAAGTGTATGGTCGATGTCCACACTTGTGCTCCAAATCGAGCGACAATTCTGGATGCAGCCTCACCATCGGTAACTTATTGCAATGTGATCGATTTGCGTTCAGGGCTGTTCGGCGCCATGTCGCCCTCCAGCGGGTTAGTATTCGCAAGAAATAAGCGGGCATCTTCACACAAATGAAGTAACCGCTCACCGTTATCATTACGAGAGCCTACACCATGTTGGCCACCCAAATGCAGTTCATCAGGGGATGATTTTCCAACTTGAGCGTTCAGATCTCCAGCCAGCACAACAGTGTCCGAGCTTCATCTGTGTCGAAGGAGCTCGTTAAATTGGCGATAGAAGTCGTCTTTTACCGAATCATCGCTAGAGTTTGTGGGTGCATAGGCAGCGATGACGAATAGACACCTGTTAGTTCCCTGTGGCTTCGAAGCTTTGAACGAGCCAGTCAATCGGACCACACGCAACCGGCTACTGATTGTAATCCAGTCAACCAGAGCAGCTTCAGCCCGGGGACTCAGGGCAATATCAATACCGGCTTGGCCGGTGCGCGAAGCTGCATCGTCACCGGATAGGCGCAATGAGAAAATGCTGCTGGTGTCACCTGAAGGGGATCGCATAGTGAGTACGGAGCTCGAGTCTTGCAGGCATGTCTCCGATAAGCAGCAGATATCGATGGAGAGAGTCTCTAATGTTTAGGCAAGTGTTACCTGTTGACCGATTTGTAGCAATGTGCGAACATTGAGGAATGTCAATCTGAAGAATGATTGAGGGCTCTAAACGGAAGTTGATGAACTGGGCTTGGCCGTTTGGTTGAACATGGGCTTGTCGACAAGACAGCAATGACGCTCCGGATTCACATAGGAGTTGAAACCAGAGGGTAAAAGCCTAGCAAAGCAAGGTGGGGGAGAGCCAAGGATCGGGGGTTAAAAACAGGTAGGGAAAAAAGTGAAGATGGAACGGGACGATAAGGGTAAAAAGCGTAAGAGGGTGGGTAAAAAGACGGGAAGGCTTGAGCAGTGGCATCCAAACTCCTATCCACCCTGCTCGATGCAGCAGATAGGTCGTTGTTGACTATCCTCTGTGACGGCCAGAAGAAGAAAAATTCATTGTACTGAGTGAACAGGATACTGTCAGGTTGCTCAGGCCTAGGTAGGAGAAAGATTAGAGTGCTCAAGCAAGGCCTTTGGTTCAAAAACCTGACCGCAAGACAGCGGGTTTGGCAATGGAGTACATGGAGTCTGTTTTAAGGAATAAGGTGCCAGCCTTATTCCAACCCCCAACTTGGAGGACCAGGAGACTAATATTGTCTAGCCTCTAACCATTGATCAATCTGATATGAGTGGCTCTGAAGGTGCAAAAAGCACCACCCAGCATAGCTCAGTTGATCTCTGAGGCAAGCAAACCATCGCACCGCGGTAAGGTCCAGCCTCATTGCGATGGCCTGTACCCAACTTGACCATATTGTCATCAGTTACAGTTGGCGCACATCAACTCAAGACCGTCGGTAAATGTGGAACACGTGCTTGGATCTCAACCACGCTCTAGTGCGCACACGTCTGGAGCTCACACTCCCCACTTCAAAAAAGCGCTAATCATTTTATCTTACCAACAACTTGATCTCACAGTCTGCGGTTCAACAATATCATAACGAACCGGTCTACTAATTGTCAGTGATTCATGAGGTTGGTATGGTCTCAAGTGTGCCATTATGAATGCCTTTGACGCTCGCTGAGGACCCAAATTGAGATGTCGAAACTGGGAACGGATCTCTGAAGCATCGATCAGTTTGATTGAAAAGCCAAAACAGGTTCCAATGGGTAATGAGTTTCAGCGTGTCCGTAACCCCTTGAAACGACGTCTGACAAGGAGTCTTCGTGTTGACCGGGACCATTGGTGGATGGAGAGACAGTGTTATTAGGAACAGACGTGTGCTACTGCCGCTAATCTGGAAAACGGGTCCAAGAAGACTATTCGTTAGCGAGACAATAGCAGAAAGACGGGTACCTGATCCATTCTCAGCGTCGTCAGCTAGCCCGTTAGGCAGAACATTTTGAACAGTAGTTCAGCAGGCATGATTCGGCATTGCTCGCTGAATCGCCTGAGCAGTCGTGGGAAGTTGATATCACCGAAATGAGCTTTCCGTGTGGAAACAAAACAAGGATCCTGGACCCGACGACCTTCCACTATCTGTGCTGGAGTACGGTGGTGTCCCTTTGTTGTTTGTTGTAAGCATCGAAGTGATATTGACGAAAAGAAACCATCCAGCACACATGGTTAGAAAGATACCATGGATCAATGGCTTCGTCATGTCTTCCAAAAGGCGGCAAAAACCACACGAACGCAGACATCGCTTGATGAAGTGCATGTGTACAATAAAACTACAAATGTTTTAGACGAAGATAAACCATCCTGTTCGTATGCTCAGCTCAGAAATGATTCAACGGAACAGCAGAAGAGTGGTACAGAATTTTGCAATTAAATAGATTTTCCATATCGGACAGTGATGATGAGTGGTTGCTCCCAACGAAAGTGTCTAGTAGAGACACATATGAGAAATTCATTTTCTGTTAGACATAACATCAGGTGCATGCCAATTCTCACAATGGTACTGCGCATGAAATGTAGCCCACATAGTAAATCGCTT